TTGGCCTTGAGGCAAGTTGCAAGAACTTCTCGATATATGTAAATAATCGACTTAGTCAATAAAATTGAAATTAATTTATGAGTGATTAAAAGAATTCCGAGTGGATTTATTACACATCATTAAAAAACAACAAACTCGTTTACTCGGAATATTTTCTAAGAGCAGAAAATCAACAATTTTTATAACTGAACCAGTTTCCGTAGGACATTAATGGTTTAGAATTTTCATTAAGATCAAGTACTCTATCGTTACACCAAGAAAATCGTCTAATTTTAATTTCAACAAATATCAAAAAACTACTCATTTTCTCAAACTTTGATGAATTTTGAAATTAAATTACTTGTCGTAAGGCCGCAATATTTCAGTAAGTTCTTAAAAACCTGTTCACATTCACACACACATACACACGCACATACTTTTTCCAAATTTGGTCTCATTCGATTCAGAATGGCTTGAAACGTCGAGAAAACATAAAATTAGCGAATCGGATTTTTTGATGAAAACATAAACTTCTCCTTCGGAAAGTTAAAAAACCTTTTCCTTTACCTGTATAATGAGAATGGCTTTTTCTCTTCCGTGGAGGGTGGTCAATACATCTTCGGCCTCTTGCTTTCTGCCATTTTTTACTAAATAAATAGGAGATTCTGGGCAAAATATGAACACGCCGATGATCAATAGAATTGGAGGACAAGCCAAGACTATTGTTTGCATTCTGTACTTCAGTCCTGTAGATGATACCAAAGTCAAAAACATTCCTGAAAAAAAAACATATTAAAGATCTTCACGGACTTAATAATCAATAATCTTTTTTTGATGATTACCTATCGTCATAAATATGGTATAAAACGATCCCAGAATGCCTCTGTTCTTTGTTTGATATTTCTACATTATACATTGGACAACACATCATTGCACCGCCGGCTGATAAACCGGCAATGAATCTGGCAAAATATAGTAATTCCACCCTTTCAGCTAAAACCTGGGAATGCAAAAATAAATTATGGATGATTTTATTTTAAATTAAAGTGATTATATTAATGATTACCTATCGTCAGCCAGCATATCAGAAAGGGAATACCCAACGACATCAATGTCCATCGTCTTCCTATCTTCTCTGAAAGGAATCCTGCCAAGAACGCACCTGGAATAGCTCCTAAGGCTATTGTAGAGGCCACCCATGATCCTGTAATAAAATACGTAAATAATAATAAAAGAATGAGCAAACACATTTTGAAAAATATATAATTTAATACCTTCTTCCGAATTTATCTGGAAGTCAGCATTCTTGTCGGAGAGTTCCGATAAAGCCGACGACGGCCATGTCATACAACTTCCTCCGGAAATAGCCGCAAAACATGCTAAAATCGATTATATAATAATGATGGATCAGATTCTGATTGAAACAACTAAAGAATTATTTATTTTTATAAATATGAGAAATTTAATAAATAAATGCTTTTTGCAGCTTAGGCGGTTAATCGATTCTATGAATTTAGATCGGCTTTAGATTATAACAAACTATTGTAATTTAAATTATTTAGTTTTGTACAATCGAAAATATTGCTTGTATCACTTGAACTACAAGGGGTACAAAGCTACAAAGCCACAAGGGGTGGTGAAGCAAATGAATAACACATTTTAATTTGATTTTAAAGTACATAGAGTTATTTTACAATCAACATTCTTTATTAAAAATTAATATTTTAATTTATTATATTTATATTGTTTGTTTTGGGAAAATTTGTTGAAAAGCATTATTATTGGAGGAATGATTGGAAGATATAAAAATGATGCGTCATAAAACATCAATTATTATGTCGATATTGATTTAAAGGTATACCGAAACGATCATAGTACTTTATTATCACAAATTTGATTTTGAACATGGTTGTAAAATATATTAAACTAATCGATTTTAAAATCTAATGTTTTTAACGTTGCCTGATTATTTTTATATTTATTTAATATTGTACAAATTTATTAAATATTGTTTTTTTTAATTCTCTGAAATTAATTTTTCATCACATTAATTATAAATATTACAGACAAGTTAATTTTAATCGTCGCTTTATTATCTCGTGTCATAAAATAATTTAAGACAAAGTATTTTATTATTTTAAATTGGAAGAATTTATTTTATCAGTAGCTTTTTGTATGGAAAGTATCAAAGAGAGACCGCACTGTCATAAATTTAAATACATATTTAAATACTTAAATTATATACATTTTTATTAAGCCACCACACCTTCTTTAAGAAATATATGTCTGTATATATATATTTTGAATTCACGTGGTTTTCTAACTTAAAATTGTTTAATTTGGAAACAAGGAATGGTTTAAAGTGTTGGTTTATTTGATTTTTTAAATTATTTGTTGGTCTGTTTTTTCCTACTGAATTAGGGGTCACATTTTGTTTTGCGAAACAACAAATTAATTGAATATATATATACATTCGGGTGGTCCTTAATATGGACATTTTCGAATTTCCAGGGGCTCAAATGGTTCCAAATTGTTAAAAAACAATTCTCTGAAAGTTCTAGCTCTTAATATTAACTTTTAGATAGTGCGCAATTCAAATAAACTTTGTATGAAAATAACATGGAAAAAATTTTGAAAATTAAAAAAAAAAAATTTTAGGTATAACTTAGCGACAAATAATTTAAAAGTGAAAATTTGTGTCATTTTTTATTGAATACTCGACGCTCCGCAAAATTTTTGAAAATTTTTTCATGCTATTTCTATACAAAACTTTGATTGAATTGCACTTAATCTGAAAGACAATATTAAGAGCTAAAACTTTCAGAGAATTGTTTTTTATCAATTTGGAACCATTTGAGCCCATAGAAACAATATATATATATATATATTTGTAATATGTTTGTCTACTAATTTGTTTCATTCAACAAAATTGAGTTATTGAAAATCATATAACCCAAATAAAAGTTTTATTTTTTATTTTTATTTAATTAATTAAAGTAGTGGTATGTAATTTTCAAAATATTCGTGTATTATAAATATTATATTTGGCAGTTTGTACCAAATCAAGTTGCTTATTATGTGATATCAAAAGACTCTACAATAAGAGCAATATACGGCATACATTAAATTCACAAAGTATCTAAAATTTTAATCCCAAAGCCAAACTGACTTTTAAACAATTTGTGGACAATAAATTAAATATTTTAAAATTTGTACAAAATTAACTAATTTACAACTTTGTCTAATATGAAAACATTTTTACAGAACTAATTGAACATGCTAATTGAAAGTGTTTAAATAGTAACTGCTAAGTAACAATCAGTACAGAATATTATAAATTTGGAATAAAATTCTATATAAAAAAATATTCAAATTTTTTGTTAAACTTTTTATTTATTATTAATATTTTAAAAATATTTTTTTTTTTAAGTTTATTTTTTCTCACCGGCTGTAGCTGCCACGTACGTCCGAACAGTTTGTCGCAGAGAACTCATTCGAAATATTTTTTATTTTTCACAAACTAATACAGTTTAATTAAAAATAAATAAATAAATAATTTAAAATATTCTAGTTTATTAATTAAAATGTCGTGTCACGCGAGTTCAGCTGATGGAACTGATTCCTTTTATTATTTATTGAGCATTTTAATACTATAATGACGAATAATTTTCAGATAAAAAAATTATCTACTATCTCTATCGGTTTTTAAGTAAAAACAATTATGAGATTATTGTTAAAAATCGCGCAATTATCTGATAAGGAAATCTGTGTACGTGTGCGCAAAAATTTTGGCTACTAATTGATTGCCAAATATTGGTTTGAATGACGCATTATTTTTTGCAATTATTGTTAATATAGACATTAAGAAATGTGTAGTGTGATTTTTCGTTGAAAAGTTATAAAAAGAAATACTATCAAATAGTAAAAAAATTGCACATATTTTCTACAAAGATTAAATCAAGGAGATATTTATCAAAAAAAGAGTGCGCGTAAGGTTCACACGCAATTGAAGTGAAACTTATTTGCTACTGTACAAGATAGCATTTAAGTAGAAATAAATACATCACATAACAATTTTGAATAATGTTCATTAGTAATATGGTAACACTTTTGATGCACACATATATAAGTGTCATCCATTATACACAATTATGTAATGATAATTATATATTTACAATAGTATTAAAGTATAATATTAAAAAACAATAATATAATTGAAATCATACTTCAAAGAGGACATGATCGGTTTGTCATTGTAATTAGCATCTAGAAATGAACCTTCATTAGAGAAATGGAGTAATTGCTTATTAATAAATTCTATAATATTCATTCACACAGTGGATTATGTTAAACAAAGCCTAAACAAATATTGTTTCCGCAACTTCACTCATCATGTAATTGTGTTTGAAGAACTTTATGTAATTAAAATTAACATACATTGACTGCTTATATTTTTTCACTTTTTCGCTGGCGATATAATCTCATTCTTTGAACAGCTGTAATATCTGCTTTTCTAAAAAATATTTTCCATTTTAATAACTTCAAAGATTTATAGAAACTACGAATAATATGGAAATATTTTCTAATCAATAAACTTGCTTACGTTTAGTACAAATGTTCAATTTGTTTTATTATTTTCAAGGAACAGGGTAAAATATTCTTCTAATTCAGGCATTTTTTTATTAAATCAAGATTTGTATTACGATGTAACTTTCAAATGTTTATTTATCTATGCCGATTTCCTTGTTGATATCGGTACGCATACAACATTGATGTCGGTACACATACAACGACAGATCTCTATTCACATACACGACGACTAATCACAATCGACCCGTATTGAAATGATTTCATGGAGGGCGAATGACGTACAGTTCGGTCGTAACGCTATTATCGTTGCATTTGTACGGATTTACACCCTAATAGTTGTGCCTAAAGAAGTTTTACTTCAAAAAAGCTTTATATTTATATTTATATTAATTCTTATGAGAGATATTAGAAAGATGAAAAATGGTGTTTTAGTAACAAATTGAACCAATTCGAATTGATTATATTCTTTTTAGTGTGTGAAGGTCCTTGGGCAGTATCGTGGAGTATGTAAAGATGATCTAGTGGGCGGTCAAGACAGTTTTCAACTCCTCACAGCTTCCAGAGGCGAAGATGGAATTAATGTTGTTACTTATAGAAGAAATTTAATATCTCGTAAGTTATTTTAAACTTCAAGAATTGTACCTATAACTATCTTGGTATATCCAAAAACCGCAAAGGAACACAAAAACACTCCCTCACTTCACTACGTTATTTTGATTATCTCTATTAACTATTATGTGTTAAATATTGTCAATTAACTAATAAAATTTAATTATTATCTATTAGCTGATAATGGTGATAAGGAATATCCCTTGGACAGGGAGGCATTTATAGTTTGGGCCATGGGAAGATTGGACGCCGTCAAGGAACCATCGTTTCACGATTATTATCCAAAAGGCGACATCAGCGTTCAATTCAACTCCAAGGAAAAGATAAACAATTGTTTTAAATTTACGAGGTGAGACTAATAAAAAAATCGAATGATTTTCAGGTTATCTATATTTTTAATTGTTGTATTTCATTTTTGTAGAAGTGATAACCGTTTCTTAGAACCATGGGAACGACCAAAGATAATTGATAAGTCTATAAGAAGCTTTACAGCTACACTCGGACCATCTGGGGGAAAACGAGGGTATCAAGGAATAACTGGTAAAATAATACAAAACATTTATATATATATATATATATATATATATCTTATTATTATATTATTAAGGGCAAACATCAAGTGGCTTAGCTTGGTATATCAATGGTATGCTGGTTCCTGAATTGTGGCTGAGGAGAGGATTAACTTATGTTTTTAAAGTAAGAAAATCGTAAAATATATGCTTTGATAAATCGTGAAATATATTATATATTTCATATTTCAGGTAAGAGGTGGCAATAATCCTCATTCTGCAGAACATTATCATCCTCTAATTATCACAGACGAACCTCGTGGAGGTTTCGACAGATTGACCGACACGGCGCAACATCAAGTGAGTCCCTAATTTTTTTTATTTACAATTAAAAATATAACGAGTTGTTGTAGAGTTTTATGATTTGCCTAATAACATTGTCACATGCAGTAAAAAGGCTTTAGATTTAAACAGGCTCTTTTCTCTCAGGTGAGAGTTTTGGCTGGTGTCGAGTACACGAGACGTGGAAGGCCTAAACCTACAGTAGCCGGGCCTTTGTGTTTGGCCCAACATACTGGAAGGGCCGACAGAAGAAGGGACGATGATTTTCCAACATTCAGAAGATTTAACAGGACTTTAAAACATGTTTGTGAAGAGGTAAATAAATCTACTATTTTTTAGAAACTATTCTATTTCTCTATAAAAGAGTGGAATTGTAAAGTACACATTATAAAATTGCATTAAGATTAAGTGTTTGAAAGTTACAAGAGATATTAAAAATAAATGCACGAAGTTTATAATATCCAATATATTAAAAAGTCTTTAATTTTTTAAGGGTGATCCAGTAGAATTGGAAGTGACCCCAAATTCTACCTGGCCCGACGTGGTTTACTACAACAGTTTTACCCACTCAAACATGGGCTGGAAAATTCATATTGTGGATAATTTTGGACGAAGTAATTCGAATTTAATTAAAATAGATTTATGTTTAATTTTATTAATACTCACTAAGACTATGTCGGCTGTAATGTTGTAAATTAATAGATATTTATATTTAATATTATTTATAAATAATAAATATAAAAGTATATTACTGAAAAACTAAATTTCTGAAACAAAAATATCCGTTTTCTGTGTGAGAATGTCCACTATCCGTGGTTTATCAACAATAAACAATGCAACGTGATTTTTATGAATAAACATTAGTTACTGTTTTTTTCAAACAATACTCGATGTTTACAATTTTTAAAAAAATCGTATTGATAAGAAAGTCGCCACACACTCACAATAGTGTGAGTGTGAAAATAGATTTATCAAATATTTATTTATCAAATGATATTATTATTATTCAAACCATAAATACTAAAGTCGATTTAAAAAAAAAACTGATCTATAATGAATTTAATAACGACACACCATAGATAAATCGTAAACACGGCCATTTTGCCAATATCTCAATTTTAATTGTTTGCGTACTCCATAGAGGCGCGACGACTGTAGCACGTAAATGTACCCTTAGGTTTAATTCCAGATAAATATATAATACAGAAAAAGTAAAAAGAAAAAAATTACATAAACGAAATGAAAACGGATTTATAACAAAATTTTGAACAAAATTACAAAAATGTTTTCTCAAAAACAATTAAAATAAAAAAATATGAATCTGAAAATTATACACAAAAAAATTATTGAACTTTTAGAGCACGTTTATTATATTAAAATAATTAGTTCTAAAAGGAGAGTGAAAAAATGACCTCTGTTGAGTGCAGAAAACTTAAAGCAGGGTGAAGCACATTTGTTCTAATTTTACCCCCATGATCATCATACATGTTTATTATCCATATCTATGCATGTTTAAATGATTTCATTAGTTTTGATTGTGTACAATTTTATTTAAATTTCTAGGAAAAGTGTGTTTGTGAAAATAAATTTATCAAATATTCAAACCAAAAACACTAAAATTGATAAGTTTTACAATTTTAGAAAATCACACACTGGTATGTATTGTATCCATGGGGGGGTGAGGGGTAAACACAACAAATATACTTTACTCAGTTTTAGTGTTTTCCGCACTCAACAGAGGTGCTACTGTGCCAAAGTTCTTTACTTTTTTTAAAGAATTGATTCTCGTATTATAATGCGCATACTTTGAAAGTTAACATTTTTTATTATGTATTTTTGAGAAAATATATTTCGTGATTTAGTTGAAAATATATTTTAGACTCGTATATTCTGCATTTTAAGTATTCAAATAAATCACTATTTTTTTCTATATTACTTATTCATTTACATTTTATCTAGAGTTTAATCAAGCGGTAAATTTACGTGCTACAGCTAGTGGCGCCCCTATGGAGTGCTGAAACATTTAAAATTGAAGAGATCTTCATAACAATAATATCTACAAAAATGTGTTCGTAAAAATAAATTTATCATATATTCAAACCAAAAATACTAAAATCGATATATTTTTTTGGCAAAAAGTTGTTTTTTTGATGGATTTTATAACAGTATGCACATGTATATACTGCATTTATTGAGATGGTGCGGAATATTTTCATTTTTATAAATTCATAAATATAAAATAATATAAATAATATTTTTTTAACTATAAATATAAAAAAATTAAATATATATAAAATATTAATTAAAATGTAAAATAATAAAAAGTAAAAAATAAACAATGATATATGAAAATCTAAATTTTCAAGTAACAAATATATCATTGATAACATAATAATAATACAATATTTATTACTTCGAACAAATTGTTTTATACATCATTACATGTATCAATTCAATTGTATATTTTATGCATTATTATTCAATTACGCATTAACTGTGACGTTACTCGAGTCCTATCTAGCGCATCCCCACTCTATGTCCCTAAGGTCAAACACTGCCGAGTCGCTCATCCATAACGAGTCGCTCCCATTATCTTTGTCCCGTTCGTGCCCTACCAACCGAGTGACGCCGAACGCGCATCGCTTTCCCCCACGTTGGCAACACCGCCGGGAGAAGCTGTCCTGCTATCCTTTGGCGTACACGATAAGATAATATTCAGTGTTTATTTATTTATTTTAAAGGTTTTGAAGTTAAAATGTGACTTGATTTTAGTAAGTGATTAAATATAAAGTTATCAGGAACAATAATAGTGCAGTGAAGTTTTGAAATATATTATAGTACGTACAGGAATGCTAAGTTAATAATTCGATTGTAGTAGTCCTTTGTTGATATGTGTAAGTTGATGTGCATGGCTACTTTCATTTATTAGTTTTATAAATGCATGTATAATATTGATATGATGCACGTAGTAGGAGATTATTTGTTTATGAATAAAATTAATTAAAGTGTTTTTGACCCCGATGTTACACATAAACACTCATCCGGCATTCTTTGTTGACTCCATTAAATATCACTTATAATTAGCCGCAAGTATTTGTGTTATCTAAGTCGCTTTGAGTTCGAAATTTAACAGTAAGATTTTGAATTGGTAATAAAACAGCCTTTGTTTGTATATGGAATCGTTTTACTACGATAATAAATACAGTTCAGTGATCATGACGGCGAAGAGTTTGTGTACACATCGGTGAAGAAGTTTATAAATCAATTTGTAGATAAAATCTTTAGTAAACAAAATAATTTCAATTACTAGCACCTGTAGAAAATGAAAGTGAAAAAGTGTTGAAAAAGAAATTTATTTTTTATTTTGGTATGATTTTTAAATATTTTTTATTTATTTTATTCATAGCAATTACTATTACAATGCTTATTTTTATTAGATTATTTATTATTTTTCGGCCGTCGAATAAATATATTCCATTGCAGTCCTATTATGTATAGAGCTCAATTGAATTGTTATTTGTATCTACTTACATAATAGAGCATTATATGTATCAAAATGTAAATTGAAACCTCAATTTATGTAGTTTAAAAAACGTATCAGGGATTGACAACATATCTTGATAATAAACATGTTACTGCAGAGTGTACTAGATAAAATAAATCGTTTAAAATACCTTCGAAGAAATTGCATGCCGCATTCCACAAACTTCTAAGTAAAACTATTTACCCACACTCATATATATATATACACAAATACATATATATATATATATATATATATATATATACATATTTATATATATATATATACTAGATGACCCGACAGACGTTGTCCTGTACCCATGTCTACAATTTAATTCCAATTTTTTTTAAATATCCTATCCTATACTTTTTAATATTCTATTTAATGCCCTTCCATTTATGATCTTAGCATAAGTATAAGAAATTTTGATCAGTATAATAAATTCAGAGAGAATAAATATAGTATCTACGGTAATAGAACAGTATCACCTTTGTTATTTCCAACCAATATAATTGCTTCAATAATTTATATAATTTATAACAGTCAATAATTTTTATAATCGTGGACCCTGTATTAGTTTCTTTTTGGCCATTACATTTTTCTTACTAATAATTTAATAAACATTTTTAGTAAAGTAATTTTTTTTTACTTTAATTAAAATCTTAGGTGAATTAATTTGTAAAATCTAGTTCATATGGAACTGTTCAATCTAAGATCATGAACAAATGAATATTTCGCACATGAAACAAAATTCTAAATCATTTTTTCAATAAGTAAAAATATTCTCTTGTACTTAAATAATTTTGTAAAGGAAAGCAAAATACAACATGCATAAGTTTAAAAAAATAATGTATATACAATTATGGACGTATTGTGTTATTTATTAAAATAAATTACATAATTTCATCTGCCAAACATATATTGTATCTTATATTGGTAATTTCTGGCACATCTCTGCTGGTGGTTTTTGGTAATAATATTGTAGATATTACATTTTTCTCATTTATAGTCATGAATATGAATATTATATACTAATATTGTCTAGGCTCGCTTAAACTAAATTCAAATTTCAAGTGAATCGACATTTTTGGCAGATGACAAACTTCTCATGTGTCGAAATGTTTTCAATGTCAAACAATGATATGTTGTTTTTTGCATTTTTTCTATTTATTTCTACAATATTACTATAGTTTTATAATTCCCACATCATGAAAATTTCCCTTGACAAACTCAAAAAAGATTTATTCAAATCCGAATAACCGCTTAGGAGGAGTATCAATTCATACATCATTACAGAAGAATTTTATATATGATATAATATATATATATATAATATATATATATATATATATATATATATAATATATATATATATACATTTATATATATAGGGTATGCCATCTAACATTTTTCATTTTAATTTTTTTTTCAACGGTCAGCCGAGCCTTTTTTTTCTTCATTTTTGAATGAAATTGTTATAATCATTATTAACTGAATTAATTTCATTATTAACTGAAAGGGTTGTTCTTCCAAATAAAAAAAGAAATTTTAGAAAATATTCAGAAAAAAAGCACCACCACCATAATCTTAAGCTTATTTTTGTGACTTTAATAAAAACTTCAAGGTCGTGGTTTCCAAACTGTGGGACGCGCGGGGCAATTAGGTTGTTAGGAAAGCGCAACATTTTCTTTAAAGAAACACGGGCAGAGCTATACTAAAAGTTTGGAAACCGCTGACTTTAAGGCATCCAAATTGCATAGACTATTGGTAACAGTACGTCCTGCAGAGCTTCTTAATTATAAATAATATACAGAGCATACAGTTAAATAAAATCTTATATGATTTTTTTTTTGTTAAAAAAATCATTGCTTTTCATATTTGTTATCATTATTTCGACACTTTGAGGAATGGCATGTCCAAAATAACTTGGATTTGTTAGAAATAATACTTCTTGAAATTTTCTTTGGGGTCTAAAAACATGAAAAAATAGCAGCCCTGTACAATGTTTTATAAAATCTCATGTAACTCCTGGTTTTTGTTTAAAACGTTATGGATTTTGGTATTTATTATTATATTAAGCACTTTTAAGGGTAATATATTAAATTTACAATATTGACGTTCTGCAGAGCTCCTTCAATAAATTGCACTGAAAAAATCTCTTCCAGTTTTGT